GACGGAATTTGCTATGTAATTGCTAATTCATTTGTATGTAGATGTCTATCGGGTTGGACAGGTGCAACATGTCAATTATTTCAAGGTATGATCACAACAACTGCGCCTACTACACCAAGTGGTATGTAATTCATTTCATTTTTCTAAGAATATTTTCGATAGTTTTTTCCTAAAACTTCAAAAATGTTTCTTTTTTCTTTTATTTTAATCAAAATACCAATTTTTTTGCTTCTCGAAATAAATAATACTATAGAAACAACACTGTTATTTTCTAAAACAAATCTTTCTAGTTGGTATTACATGTGCAAATAGGCCATGTATAAATGGTGGAACATGCTTTAATAATGGCGATTCATACTTCTGCTATTGTGGACCAACCAATACTTTCACGGGTACAAATTGTGAAATCATCTCATCAACATTAGTACCTAGTAAGACAACTTTCAGATACTTATATGTAAAGAATTGTTTCTTTCTCATAGATTGTCCATTAAACTGTGCACCTGGTTATTGTGTACCTTCGGGTTCTACTACACATCCATATGCTTGTATGTGTCGTGGTACTCTGCATCTGACAAGTTGTAATTGAAACTATTCAGATTTGATGAATGGAAAACTTTTTAAAACTGAAAAATAATTAACAAAAAATATATATGAATTTCTCTCTTTATAATAAATAATATTTTTTTTAACGTGCTCATGATACTCGATAAAATAAACTAGAATAAATACTCTACATATTCTATTTCTAATGTATTCAATAAGTAAATAAAAGCTGAAGTCAATTTTGATTACTCTTATTTGTCTTATTTGAAATCAAGATAGATACTTAGGGTAATGGAGACAATTGTCGTCGAAATAGTTTTTAAAGTTCTATCCTGTCGTTTCAGACATTCTATACAGAAAAAGAAATATTCTCGAAATTATAAGTTGCTTCAAATCAATTTAGATATATTAGTTCCATAGATTGTTCTACCATGCCAATAGAAAATTTTTAGAATATTGTTTGTTTTGCAAATGATCTTCAATTGACAAACCAAAAATATTATCTTACCATTCTAAAACAGAAAACTCTAATTGAAAACAGTAATATTACTATATATTTGAACTTGTTCGATAATTAAATGGAAGCAATCGATTAATATCAATATCAATCCCAACTGTATAGTTTGATCTAACGTGAATTGATAGTTTTTTGTTTGTGAGAAGACTACATATATATTTAATTAAAGAAGTCCTCAAAATCAATGGCAATTAATATTATTAACAAGAACATTCATTTTTATCAAAAAGGTTTTGATTAAAATGTAGTATATAGTATACAAAACTCATATTAAATAATTGAGAGAGTTCATATATTTCCAATGTTATCTTCAAAGCAATGACAAGACAAGGACAAGATTGGAAATAATGAGGTTTCATTTTGTCAGATATTCATCACTGCTTGTCAATAATAATCCATTACATGATTTTATGAATTACTAATAGTGACTAGTTTTAAAAAAAAACTTCAGTTGCATTCGAGCTCTTCAAATATCGAGATGACTATTGTATTACAAATACTTTATTCATCAATATTCATAAATTAACATAATATGAAGACTTCTTTTATTCCAAAATAAACTAATTTATATGTTAAATGTTTTGTTGTTCCTCTAAAGACAAAAATCATTCAATCGGTGACAACGTGAAAGGTTTTTCGAAGACTATAATAACATCTTCTTTGAAGGACACAATAATAATATTCTAAATTTGTATAAAGTTTTGTATTTTAATTCAGATCATATCACTTAACATAAACATCCGATTATTCTTTCTTTCCAATGCCCTTAGTAAAATAAAATGCCCTTCACGTGCTTACTTCCTTTGCTGCCTTGAAATAATGATCAGGTGGTAAACGCCTACAGACAACAATATATTTAGTAACACGAGTAATTGATTCTTTGATCGCGTTTTAATACGAACGTTGTGCATCTCTAATTGACAGTGATTTAATACAAGAATATAAACAGGCTTTATATGAATCAATATAATTTCTTCGATGAGAAAAAACTAAGTATCTCAATAATAATCATTTCTGTTTGACGAGCGAACTTGAAGAAGAAGATGGTAGATTTTCGTTCACTAGCTATCTCAAATATATTTCTAATATTATTATTCTTATTAAAAAAAATTGATTCTTCACAATATCGATCTGTTCGACAAATTGAAGCTAATCAATGTCCTAATCTAAACAGTAACAACTTTTTAACGGAATACTTTCATCATCATACTTTTTTCTCTTCAATTTTTTAGACAATGCATGTCTTTTTGTTAACTGTGAAAATGGCGGAGAATGTATCGAAGATCCAACAACTATTGATTGTTTCAAATGTCAATGT